GCGGAAAGAAATCTCCACAATCAACTGTACCCTAATTGGACTGGCGGTAATAACTATGTGAGTAAACCTTCTAACACATAATGCATAATGCAACACAAAAAACACACACACACTAGAGCTGATGAAACTAGAGATCACATAACAACTTATTTTAGATATAGTTTCTGATAACTGAAGTTGCTTGGCAGCAGAGTCCATCCCTGACAGAGGTGTGATCCTTAGAAAACATCTTTATACTGCTCAACCTGTATGAATGTGATCTGAATGCAATCTTCTTCTGTTTTTGCCAGGATCAGGTTTAACCATTTTTCAGCATAGCACCTAGACACAGCACACGCTTATATTAGCCACAAATTAGCTCACAACACACCAGATGTTTAAACTGATTTGTAACCGCTTCATTCAGTGTAGCAGAATACCGATGGATACTTTCATGGTGGCAATGGTATGGTAGGCAATTGTTTCGGAGCAGCAAAGAGGATTCAATTACCGGTCGAGCAAGTTGATTCTAGTCTAATGAATTACAAAATTTGATTTTTAGCATAAGGCCTACATGCTGAAATCCAATCCATTGTTTTAGGCTGTATCAGAAGTGGTCCTGATACTGGAATCAGTAGAAAAACAACTCCAGATGAAACACAGTCCTAATGTCTGATGTTTTTGTTGCTGTTTAGGGCAAGAAAAGGAAAAAGGATAGGAAGAGAGCTCCCACCAGAACTGAAGGTATGATGATCTTTTTATCATGCTGCAGGATTTCAAGTCTGACTTCTAAAAAGACTGACCGGTTATATGGTTGTTTGTTTACAGGTGTGATGGAGCCTTCCAGGGAGCAGACAGGTGTTATGGCTCCTAATCCTCTGCAGACAGGTGGGATGATGCCTTATCCATCCCAGCTAGTCCTGCAGGAGCCACACAGGGAGACAGCAGTGAAACAGCCAGGTCCCCTTCCGTTAGACCTGCAGGAGCCACATACTGTCAACTGGCAACCCTCCTTTCAACAACTTCCCGTGTTGGACTCTCATCAGACTCTAATGGTGGATGTGTTTGACCCCTCCACTGGGGCAACGAGTGTTATTTATATGCAGCCCATGGAAACCATTTCTTTGCCACAGCCAGAAACGTTTACTAGCATGATGGAGCCACATAACCCTCAGTCTATCCTGGTGCAGCTTCCAGGAACACAAACACCCTTCTCTGCGCCAGTATGCCAATCATGCTACCTCCCAAGAGTGTTTAAGGTCATCTCTGGGTTACAGCAGTATGAAACAACCTCCACATACTCTAATGACCCATGCATGTAGCAGAAGCTGCCTTCCTTTAAACATCTGGACATTTATTGTTTATTTGTATTTCACTCTATTTTATTGCTTTCTTGTTGAGTGAAAGAAAAGTGCCCAAAATATTTACTTCTGCTGTTTCCTTGTATTGAACATTGTTATGAGTTGTCATGACAGTGTTGGGATAAATAAAACTGAGAACTTAATAGCTTTTTGATTTTCTTTATTTTGTTCTACTTAAGTTCTTGTGCATACTGGAATTGGTAACTACTATCTGTAACTACTCCTATCGGTAACTACTCTTCCTCTACCTCTAACATTACCTGTGGTGTACCGCAAGGTTCGGTTTTAGGTCCCATTTTATTCTCCATTTATATGCTGCCTCTTGGCCAAATAATTGAACGCCACAATGTCTCCTTTCACTGCTACGCAGACGACACACAAATATACCTTCCTTTGAGAGCTGAGGACGCTAGGAGCCTAGCTGCTGTCAGAAACTGCCTAAACGATATCAACTGCTGGATGGCACAAAACTTTCTCCAACTGAACAATTCTAAATCTGAAATCATAGTATTCAACCCGCCAAACTCCACTCATATCTCAAAGAACAGCCCCGGTCCCTTATTCGCCAATGTCCAACCCACCAACAGAAATCTAGGAATAACATTCGATTGAAATCTCACCTTTGAATCCCATATCAAAACAGTTGTCCGATCAAGCTTCTTCCATCTACGCATCATCTCCAAAATTAAAACAATTCTAACCCAACTAGACCTTGAAAAGATCATCCACGCCCTCATTTTCTCCCTTATCTCATATTTATGCTCATATCTTAATCTCCTCGTGTTTTAACTTGGTAATTTCTTATCTTACTTACTTTGTCTGTTTATGTTTCATATTTATATTTACTTTGTATTTTTATTAATATTATAGTTTGGGTTTTTTTGATCCTTTAACCTCTTGTTTCTATTTCTTTTACTGCTCTTACCTTCTTATTGCTGTTATCTTTTTATTTGCTTTTATCTCTTTTAGTTTCTTACATCTTTTTAAATCTTTTGTCCTCTTGGTCTCAGCTCGTGTTGTTGGGTTCTTGTGTTGCCTGGGTTCTTAAAATGGTTCTTGTGATGGTCGGGTTATATATGTCTGTTGGGTATCGTGCACTTTGGGTTCTTTTCTGTTGAATTGTATTTAATTATTTTTAGTATTTTGCATTTGTTTGTTCTTGCTGTTGTTTATGTTCTTCTGTGTTTGCTTTGGTTTGTTCTTGTTTTTGCTGTTTGTCAAAGCACTTTGTAAACCTGTGTTTTTAAAAGGTGCTATATAAATAAAGTTATTATTATTATTATTATTATTATTATTATTATTATTATTATTATAAAAAAATGAAAATACAGTCACTCACATTATCATTAAACCATTCATAGTAATTCCTGTTTTATTGAATAATTCACATCATGAACCACTTGTGATAAATGTGATCAGTGAGAGTGAGGCCAGATGGTCATTCATTGATCATTACGTGATCATTCTTATTGGTTCTACTATATAGCACTGTATAAGGAATTATGAAGGGACTAGTTTTGGTAACTAATCACAAATACTCAAGTCACTTCAATTAAGTTGTTTTTTTGTGGACTTTTATGACTTATTATCAAGTCTGCACTGTAACTTGTAAACACAGAGTCACAAAGTCATCTACTTAGTAACTTTGAAAATAAAATTGAGCACTAAGTACAACTTGTATGAAATTAAAATAAAAATAAATAAAAAAATAAAAATAAAAACCAGATCATTTATATAGATGATCAATTACAGGTCAACCCGATTTAGAAAAAAAAAAACTGTATTGCAGTCTATAAGACTTTAATTGCCACATACTTACCCCAAATCAAGCCTCCTGCACTGGCAGGTGTGAGACATAATAAATAAGCGTACAAATATAGATCCAAATACATACAGCATAGTCTAATACACAAATACCTATGCATAAACATCACTCTGGAACCGCAGGGAAATGTAGACGCCTAGCATAAGAAATGAAAGGGGACCGCATTGCATTGAATTTGTTTAGAGACCCTCTTAGAGTGTGTCTAATTTTCTCCAACTTTACACAACTTAATACAGAGTGAATCCAATTTTCATATGAAGGAGGAGCAGGGGATTTCATACCGACAATTTATCACCACCCCCTCAGTGTCTGATACTGAAGCACAAGGTGACCTTTAGCAGCTGTATCTCACACGGACAGAAAGCCTGTTTGATATGTGATGAACTCTGTGAAATAGTCACAGTTTGGTTTGATTTAGGATAAGACCATTGTCGTTATGTTATGTATGTCACGTGATGTCACTGCAGCGCCTAACAAAACACACAAATGTTACATTATATTCCTAATTTCAAAGTGACATGACAACAGTCACATGACGCACATAACCCAATGTGCCTTCCTACTTATATTAAGATTTTGTTTTCAAAGGACATGAACCTCAGTCGCCTGGGTGAGAGTCCATCCATCCATCCATCCATCCACCACCACCTCCTCCAACTTTGACATTTCTCACTCTTTATACATAATTAACTCTTTATACATCCCGGGGGTGTCTCATACAGCCACAATGGTTTTACATTGAAGTCACATAAAAAGCCTACAGCGTCACTCTAAGACACAAATGGAAACAGTCTGGTTGAGTTGCAGAGGGGTGATGACTAACTGAACAGAACATCACAGGAGTTTGAGATAATTTAGACTGATGATTTGGAGAAGCAGAAACCTGATAGACTGCTGCTATTTATACATTAAGAATTAAAGGTAAAAAAGTAACACATACTCTGAGTACATTTTGAGAAGACTTACTTTGTAATTTTCTTACACAACTTTTACTTGTAATTAAGTAAACTTTTAATATTGTAACAGGACTTGAGGACAGAATTTTAGTTATTTTTCCACCTTTAAATATTTCATTTGGTATTCCATTCATTTTCTAATTTTCAACACACTCGTCACCTGGTGGGTATGGTAAAGACAGTTCTGGAGGATATAAATCTTAAAGAGGATCTAATCCTTTTCACACAGGGACTTCATTGTATGATCTTAGAGTAGATAAAGTACCTGACATCAGATAACACAGAGGTCTACCTTGGCTTGTGGATGACACAATTGATTCAGAAAAATCTCTATGTGAAGGTTAAGGAGAAGGGCTGCTCATAATGATCTTCTTAGGCTGTCTGTTGAATCCTCATTTATTTCTCTATCCAGGGGTGCCATGGCTGAGAAGGTCACATTGAAGAAACCCTTGGTATAAACAGAGTATTTTCCAACTAAAAAAAAGACGTGATTTAAATGTTAATAGGGCAGTAAAGCAGGAAACAAACCCACATTTTTACAACCAGTCAAAAAAAATCCTCTTATCATCACCTCGCTTACCTTATCATTAACATGACTTACATTGTTACTTTCAACAAAGGAAATAAAAATTTGTTTTATCCAAAAATTGATTTAATAATATAAAATAAACTATAACACGTTTGGATATATTTATTGTAAATCATTGTTTTCTTCTAATTTTAAATCTTAATATTTCTCTAATATGTCTTTGCAAAGGTTTCAAGTAGACAGCTTAGATTACATTTAGGTTTGTCTATTAAAAAAAAAAAAAAAAATCCTGGCATTGAAACGCGAATTTACGACCGTATCCCACAGCACTTAAATGCAGCAGAGTTAGAACTGAGGAGTTGAGTTAATGTAGGTGGACAGGAATCACAACAGGCTAGCTTCAGAGATATCTGCTTAATCACTTTTGCCAAACTTACATGCTAAAGCTAACTAGATAAAATTGACCTCCATTGTGAACTCGGATCAAAGGTCTCGACTCAGACTAATCTAACAAGCTAATAAGGACCGCAGCTAACATCATGTTTATGAACAAGTCCGCCTGGTTTTCAAGCAGTGTGCCTCAGACACGTCAGAACATTTGGAGTAAGTGACTTATTTTCAGGTCAAGATTTATACTAGAAGCTGCCACTAGCATTATTTCTAGCTGTCATGTAAGTAACTGTATAAAGTAGTTATTATATATTGTCTTGTAGTTTTGGAAGGTGGGATCATGGCTAATTGGAGAAAAGCAGATTACCTTTTCAGTGAAGATGCCACATGTCCTGATACTCAGAGGTGAGAGTGATGAAGCTTCATTTGTGAGTTAGCCTTTTTTTTTTTCTTCTCCAAACTACGATTCCATTTGTGTATTTCAGGATATTTGAGAGCAAGGATTGTCTCTGGAACAAGGTGGTGGTTTTTCACAGCTTGTTCCTGTCCGTCTGTGAGATGCGCCAGAGTGTGAAGTCAGTGTGCATCGGTCACTATGTGCTGCCTCCAGCCTCGGTGCAGGAAGGTACTGCAGAGTCAGTGATTGTGCCTCAATAAGATAGGTACTTTTACAATCTGCCATGCCATGCTAAGATAAGCCTGAGAGGTTGCAAAAATAATTAAGAAAAGAGAAATAAGTGGAACACATTTCTACAAAAAATAAATAATCCATAGTTAGTTTCAGGACTCACAGGGGGAGCAGTCTCTGTTTGGTTTCACTTCTAATTACTCTCTAAGAAAGTCAAAGCGAATAACGTCAGACATCAGTGAATTATTATAAGTTTCACAAAGAACAATTTTATGACTAAAACTTAATGTTTCTCTTATATTTCAGAGGTGAGAGGAGTGGTAGGGCGGTTGATCTGGGAGCGTGAAGTTGAGCAGCCAGTGGCCCGGGTAGGCGCACCATGAGATGGAATAAAGCCGCCCAGCAATACAGCAAATCATGTATTTTATTGTAATCTCCATTAATTGAAGTTCGTTAAACAGCGCTCCAATGAGAGAGGTAGCTGCAAGAGTGAAGATGAGTACAGTGAAGACAGCAGGAACTGGTATGTTAAGTTTCCACTGTGAGTGTTTTGAACTAGAACTCCTCAATTGAACTAATTCACACCTTTTGCTTTTTTTTTTTTTTTTTGCAGTTCTGAACCATCCGACACAGACTCATCTGAAAGTGAAGTATGTGGTCATGATCAAGATGGAAACAAGCTAACAGGTACGACACTGATCAACAATTCCTGTGGGGTCTGACAAAATGTCTAAACTTGTTTCTCTTACGCAGTGTTAATTTTGTCAGTGAAATATTGACTAAAAAAAAGTATTCGTTGACATACTTTTCTTTTCTTCACCAAAATGAGGCAACAACATTAAAGCGAAATATATTGACAACAAAACTTTTTGGGGAAATGTTTCATAAAGCCATGATAAATAAACAGAGAAGAAATAGTTAGCTGTGTTTGAGCCAACAACCAAGTTTGGTCCCAGTTGACATCCTTTAAAACAAATTATCTGCTACCAGTGCGCTGCAGGTGATTCTCCCTGCGTCCTTGTGTCTTTCTCATTGTTTATGGGATGACTTTTTTTCCCTGCTGTGTGTCAGTGATGAAGCTGAATGAAGCAACTGCTGGGCAATGACATCTTAAAAACAGCAGCCAGTCTTGTTGAAAGGAAGAGGAGAGATAACCTGTGGACACGTTTATTCAAATCAAACAATAGGATTGAGGGAATAATTCACTATAGAATAGATTATGGCAGCCAATAGCACCATGAATTATGCCTAATTTACTCCTGCTATCTGCTCCGTCTCGAGGTCCAGTTACAGCACATTGTGCTGATGATGCTGACTCTGAACACACCCCTAAAGATTAGCAGCTCTGTGGTGTATGTTCTTGTTTTACGTCAGATTGTGGAGGGTCACCTCACCCCAAGACTCAATAATCCCCAATAAAAATGATCTGCATGGTAGGAGGCAGGATTGTGTTAAAATTACGTTAGCTAGTAGCTTTCTTTAAATTTCCATGTGGCATATTTCCTTTTTTGTTAGTACTTTAAATTGTGACTTGGGAGAAACATCTTTATGAGTCCTTAAAGAAATAAACTTTACCTCTTATGCTGACGGAGCTCACTTCTGTCTACATTTAGATAATGAGCTGTGCAATCCTTTAATGAATCAGGCCCTGAGTGTCAGTTTTATTCAGCTGAGTTGACTTTTAGTATTCTCACTTTTTATTGACATTTTTACAGCCAGGAGAAATATCTTCCTGCAAAATCAAAGAATCAGGAAACTGTCTGAGAAATTGTAACTAAAACAGGGACTAAGATGTGACCAAAATGAAATCGGAGTTCCATTGACTACATTTACACTAAAAAAAAACTAAATGCAAAAACTAAAATGTGAATAAAATCAACTACAATTTTCTGAAAGCAACATCAACTAAATTTAAATTCCTTGTCAAAATTAACACTGCTACTGAGATAATAATATATTTGAGTTGTTATTCACTGAGTTGGTAAACATAATCCCTTTTCCTGCCAACATTACACATTACTATACTTACTGCAGGGTACATCAGCATGGACAATGTGCAGAAGTATTCAGGTGATCTGCATGATTTTCATCCCGGATGTTTCCGATGCTCCAACTGTAAAACTCGTAGCTGCTTGCAGCACATGTGAGCAAACGTGCACCGAGAGAGAGCTTCTTCAAAATGGACCAGGTTTCAGTTTTGCTGTCCATGTGGCAAGCTTCATGTTGTTTTGTTTTTTTTACAAGTTTTGCATTCCTGAGCTGAATCTGCATATTTGATGCAAATCAATTCAATGACATAATACATTTGTGAAACATTCATTTCATTGTGTCAAGTTATTGTTCTACCGATCCATCATTGTACTGTAACTAAATATTACTTTAGCCCTATTTAAGGAGCTCTATGTAACTCTGACACCTAGCGTTTGAAATTGGTACTCAAAACATTAGAGAGAGCTGTCCCCCCCCCCCCGACCCTTTTCCCCTTGAGTCAATATCGGAAGCTTCACTTTACACAGCTCTGCATCGGTCTTAAAACTTTCTGCGCTCTAACCTCTCCATTTTACAAAACTTCTCCAATATTTATCTTAGTTTTACCACATTTCTGGTCATGGAGCTTTCTAGACAATGCAGAGTCTTTTTAAGTTGTGTACAATCAGTTATCTGATCCAGTTTGCTTGCCTGCTTTCATCACTGCACCACCTGTTGGTTTGCCGTTTGCCTGGCTCACAGAGGGACGTCCATGTTGGGGCGCCTTAAAACTGCCCACCTTCTCTGGTCAAAACAGAAACAAACCATTCTGCATCCCTTAATGTCTGATAATATAGTAAGGTCATGTTATGATTTAATTCAGTTACTTTCTTACATATTGGACCGTTAACTAAACTCAGTTTGCAGGCTATAAATTGGACTGTAGGCTAAAGAGTACTCGGGTTACAAATTAAGCAAAAAGAGTTAGCCTACCTGTAGTTGTACTGACCAGAATGTCCAACAGTGCTCTTTATTAGTGAATGTTTTGTAACTGGAAAGTGTAGAGAGAGAGAGCAAAGCAGAATACCCTTCAAATCACTCAGTTGAAAAGAAAAACAAGGGCCATAATCTGAAACACTCAAAATGCCTTTAATAAGGTAAAATCAAAAGACAGTCGTGAGTAAAATGTTATAAAGTGCCAAATGTATTTCAGAGAAGAAATAGTTTAATGGAGAACTGAATATTGAGGCTCTGTCTCAGTGACCCTTCTCCTTACCGTATATGTTGGAGAAATGATCCAGCTGAAAGCCTGGGAGTCTTCACCAATTTGATTACCTAACAAACAGGTAAACAAAGAACAAAAAACAGCATCTGCTTTAAAAAAAAAAAAATATTGACTCCGTCTGACTGTCTGTTCTGTGGCAAGAACCCCTACTTTTCACATTCCTCCAGCAGATGCCCTACACCTCATTGCCTCACCTGAGTTAGTCTTCTAAAAGCCTTACTTTTCTGTTTGAACACTCAATAAACTCTGGGGTCCTGTTCACGTTAAGGGCCAGCCCACCAAAAATCACTGTTTATTTAAACTTTGCTCCTCACCTGTAAGAGACTGGCTCTGACTGTTTCTATTGGACAAGCTCATCAGACTTCGTGCACTGCGACTGAAGTTAAAGGGAGTTGTGAATTTACGTAAAAGGCATATTGACAATGCAGGCTTAATTACGTCTTTTTATCAATACTGAAAAAAAAAGTGTTTCCTATGTATACATATTATATACATTTTAACTAATATTGCAAAATGTCTCTGTGAGGTAATTTCCACCCCTGCAAAATGGACTGTGCCGCAGTTTTCGACCAATCACGTCCTTTGTTTTGGTGCCAGCCCCACTCTCAGGAAGTCGTGTCGCTGCTGCTGCTGCTGCTGCTGTCTGTACTTTGACTTCATTCAGAAGAAGAACAACTCAATCTGACGTTTGTCTGTTAACTTGGACTTAGTATTTGTCGGACTCATCAGCTCGTTGTCTGCTCGCTGGTACGTCGGCCATGGCGCAGGAAAACCTCTCCGTGGTGCTGCACTCAAAAGGAGACCTGAGGCTGGTAGGGGGACCGACACAAACCTGTATCATTTTCAAGACATTTTAAAGTTAAAACCTGTTTTATATCAACTGACTGCAATTTTTGTTTTTTTTGTTTTTTTTAATCAATTTTTCAAAGGAAAATCGACCTATCCCGGAACCAGAACCAAATGGTGCAGTATGACATATTGAATAATGAATAGGCTACTTTTACATGCATTTCAAAACATTTAAATAGCCTAATTGAAATTTAAAAAAAAAAACATCCACCTCTTTCACTAGCGTTTAACAGTCTGTTTACAGTCTGTAACTTTTGCTGCTTTGCTAAAGTGCTCATGATGGATAGGCCGGATCTTTGTAATATAGCAATAAGTCAGGTCTTTTTACCTGCTCTTTTGTAATGTTAAAAGACAAAGAGTAAGGTCTTTTACCTGCTTTTTGTTATGAGTTGACGCTATACAAATACAAATTGATTGATTGATTTATCAGTTTCAAGCTTCTGTATGTCGAATTGAGTTACACCTGCCCTGCTGCTGTTTAACCTCTTATTCTCTTTCATTTAATTTAGACTACAGAGAAACCAGTCTTTGCTTTTTGGGGGGGTATTTGAAATGTACTGATGAATCAGAAGGTCATTTTAGCATGCCTGTGCTTTTTTCTTTTTTTCTTTTTTTTTTTACTCAGAGGTTTTGCTCCAGATGCACTCTGTGGGAATCTGTGGATCAGATGTTCATTACTGGCAGAACGGCCGAATTGGGGACTTTGTGCTTAAAAAGCCGATGATACTGGGTCATGAGGCTTCAGGGCGGGTGGTGAAAGTTGGAGCTGCAGTCAAGCACCTTAAAGTGGGTAAGGAGCGTGGGTGTGGCAGAGCAGTGATATATCAATGTAGTGGCGTAATGCATTATGCATAGATGCACTCTCCCATTCTTTTGAACGGAAAGTTTAAATGGGAGTTGTTTTTGTTGTCATGTCTGTTATGTGTCATTTTTAAGGTTTAACTTAATCTTAAAAAAAATATGATTAAAAAACTGCAGTCGCTAACTGTTGAAGTGCTTTTTAAACTTCACCTCATGTTTTTGTAGGTGACAGAGTGGCCGTTGAGCCTGGTGTTCCCCGTGACATGGACGAGTTCTTCAAAAATGGACGCTACAACCTGTCTCCTACCATCTTCTTTTGTGCCACACCCCCTGATGATGGAAATCTGTGCAGATACTACACTCACAGTGCCAACTTCTGTTACAAGTAACAGTTTGCTCAGGATTTTATCGCTTTGCCACACCAGTGATTACCCAATCAAATCTGCACGATCTCTTAACTGCCAAAGGACTCTCTTGCTTCACAATTGCGTATGTCCTTCCCCATTTTTCTTCTTTTTCACTCTCACTATTGTTCACTGCTCAGGTTGCCTGACAATGTAACATTTGAGGAGGGAGCTCTAATTGAACCTCTTTCTGTGGGGATCCACGCCTGTCGCAGAGCTGGCGTTACCCTCGGCAGCAGCATGCTCATCTGTGGTGCAGGTAAAAACAATTCAACTTATATTTAAACAAGGCTTTTGTATAGCACAAATTTACACAACAAGATTCTTCAGAGTATTATGCAATCAAGTATAAAATACATGCTGGGACTGAAATTAAACAGCATGTCTCTACAGGTAAGGAATCTGGTTAAACACTCATTGGTTGTCGTTGTGAGAATCATACTGACTCAACAAAACCTGAGTGAAAAGCTTGTGAACCTGAACACATCGTGTTAGAGACTTACAAACTGAAAACAACACTTCAGACAGCTGTGTTAAGCTGCACCAGGTGAAACAGTGGATGTTGCTGATCATGCATTATGTCTATTACAATGTCTAAGAAGTGTTCATAGTCATGTTGTAAGAATACACCTTGAAACATTAGATTAGTGGATATTTACAAACCTGTCTGCAGTTTAAGGAATCTTGTTTATTTCACCTCTTCCCACCAGGACCAATAGGGTTGGTCTGTTTAGTCGTGGCCAAGGCAATGGGGGCCTCACAAGTCGTCATCACCGGTAAGACACAAGCTTTATAAACATCCAACGAAACTGAAAGGTCCCAGACCGGAAAAACATAAACAAAAAATAATTTCGGTTGCATCTTCTCTTCAGTGGTTCAGTCTTTTCTCTCTCTCTGTCCACCTCTCCTGTGCTCAGATCTGTCTTCAGAGCGCCTGGCTATGGCCAAAGAGTTAGGTGCAGACTTCCAGGTGACAGTGACGAGAGGAGACGCACCCCAGCAGCTGGCCCAGAATGTAGCAGACATGCTGGACGCTCAGCCCCACATCACTATTGAATGCACCGGTGTTGAGAGCAGCATTCAAACTGCCATCTATGTACGTGATTATGCTCAGTAAAGACCATTCAAAGACATTGTCAGAATGATAAAGCAGCTCTGCATAAACTACATGCAGTAGTACATTCACTCAGGTGCTGCACTTACTTTCTGCTCTGGAGTATTTGTAATTTGCTCTATTATTTTCATTCAGTGCATTCTTTACCTCTTAAGGTACTTTTTACTATCCAGATCAAGACTTTTCAAAGTATTTTGCGTTTTAATAGTTTAAATAGCTTAACAGTAAATCAAATATTTAAAATGGGCTCAACCTCGCAGCAGGCACTAAAGTTAAACATTCATTTCATGATAATACTTCTGCAAAAAAAAAGAGTCCATTAAATTTCTGCTGTGGCTTTTTAAACTTAAAATAAACATTGTCTGGAATAGTTGTTGTGATGGGCATTACATTGTAATGGAGTATTTTAAGAGTGAGGTATCACTGTTTTACTTAAGTGAAGAATCTGAATACTGTCTCCAATTGCTTGTAAATATGATGCTATATTTTTCGAACTGTAAATCAAGCTGCAGACTATTTGTAGACAAAATGACCCTTGATTGATATATTTTTTCCCGTCAGGCGACTCGTTCAGGAGGAGTGGTGGTGCTGGTTGGTCTCGGCTCTGAGATGGCCACTGTTCCCCTGATCAATGCAGCTGTAAGAGAAGTGGACATCAGAGGTGTTTTCCGCTACTGCAATACGTAAGAAATGACCCCTGCAATGCCTCTCTTGAACTCTTAGCAGATGTTTTTAAGCAGAATAAAAGACAGCTCAGTTATTCTGTATCTCAGAGATTGATCTCTTAACTCGTATGTTTTTGTCTGCCTTGCAGCTGGCCGATGGCCATTGCCATGTTGGCTTCAGGTAAAGTAAACGTAAAACCCCTCGTGACCCACCGTTTCCCTCTGGAGCAGGCGGTCCAGGCCTTTGAGACCACGCGTCAGGGTCTCGGGATAAAGGTCATGTTAAAGTGTGACCAGACTGACCAGAAACCCTGAACGGACCCGCTGCAGTGACAAAACCTGACTAATTGAGAGCAAGTCAGCATAACAGATAGAATCCACACACTGGACTTTGACCTAAAGAAAGATAACAGATGGAGCAGCTCAAAGTGACGCACTAACAAAAACATTGTGACAAACAACTGACCGCTGCACTACCTGCAGGTCGGACCTGTTGTAAGCATTAAGTGGTACGAGCAATTATTTAATTAGGGACAACTTTGTTTGTTAATCAACATTTTAATATTTCATCTTAGCATTTAATGAATTTTGAATGATTGATGATTTACACGAGCACTGAAGACAAAGAGAGGCCTTGAAAAATAAAGTTAGTTTAACAAAATGTTACTGGTTCTGTCATCATATCTTGTTTTCACAATACTTGCATTACCGACATAGAGCCAGTAGGGGGAGCTAGATACTTGAAGTAAAAACGACATAGCAGTATTTTTGTCCCAATTCTAAGCTTATAATAGTGGAGGGGGGTAAATAGTATGTATGGGTCTTTAAAGTGAAGGTCAACCTGAAGCTGACTCATTAAACAGCCTCACTACTGTTAGCTTTATAGTGTTGTAAATTAATAAGAGATTACTTTCACAACACACTTTACTGACATGTCTGAGTACACATTCTTGATCTTAGCGCGTGGAATCAAATGTTCAAAACATGTTTAGTTATTAAACATTTTAGAAATGAAATTATGCAAGATATTTACTTTACAGTATCGTACCAACACTGAAACACACGTACCAATGGACTTCAAACTATGACTTATCACTGCCAATGCAAATTCAGCTTCACAAAAGGTTTAAGGTTTTGTGAAATATTCAATGTTTTGTTTTCCAACATCTCTCAAGAGTTTTCTTACCTCTTATTATTAATTTTAAAAATGTTCACCTATGGGTAGCTCCTCTTTTCCATAATTTTGAAAACCTACTTAGAAGTGCTCTGATGTGTGAAATGAAGGCACACATTGAAAGTGCTTACATGAAATATCCTGATAATCATAGTAAATACTGCCTTTTCAGAGTAACAGTTCTAAAGGGCAACTCATGAGACCACACTTTTTATTACTTAAGATGATGAGATATTGATTTTCAGTTTTTCACTCTCTCACTCGTATTTGGTCGGTAAAACGTATCCTGTGTCCTTTAATGTATTTTTCTTCAGTCAGTTTCCCAGTCCAACAAAAACAGGCAGGTTTAGCTCAGATTTTATTTTCTTGCCACAATGACATGAAACTACTTTACGAGGCATGCACACACACATAATGTTCATATGGTTCAATTCACTACAATGCATTGTAGAAGCATTACCTGGTGGCAATGCTTGTTTTCTGTCACAGTGTGGGTGATTCACAGTTCTCTCTCCTCGGGAGACTGAAAGCCAACATACGGGGAAGATGTTTGCAGAGACTAAACCTGTGTGTTCGGTTTTTTTTTGTTTTGTTTTTTTTTCAACATGAGAACGATACTAGACAAGTTTCTCTTTATGTACACACATTCTAATACTGCTTATGGCAATGGGACAGCTCACATGACACAGTTACATTCACAATCCACTCATAGTATGCATGAGTTTCAGTAAGGAACACTAGAGATGAACACACAGTAGAGTAGCACAGAAAATAAAACTGTTCGTACATGTGACTTTGATATCAAAAACATAATTAATGCATGTCAATAGTTTTATTCAGTTACTTGTTATTTCAATGTGTGTGAGTGTTTTTTTACATGAGATTTAGAAAAGACCTTTATGCCATTCCGAGGTTGAGCTTGTGTATTGCCGTACAATGGAGGAAATCAAACGGATATGGCATTACTCCCATAAACCCCTGCTGCAAGCATTGGTTTGATTCACATTACATTTGATCAACTTAGCATATTTAAAACCCTAACATTTCAAACAATTCACTCATTCCCCTTTTTACTGGTAACGACTACAACATCCGGCAATTCATTGTTTTTTTTGTTTGTTTTTTTTTGCCATCATTGAGGACCGCTTTCATTTCAACAGCAAAGATTCATGGAATATTCACAATGCAGCCGTGTCCCCGCTCTCCCCACTGCCTTCCATATTAGCAAAATATGTATTTACATGAGAAATAAATAAACAGAGAAGAAATGAAACTATACAAGAAGTATAGTAGAAGTATCATATTGCATTACATGGATATAAAAAAATAAATTGTGATGCATTCACTCGATAAGTCTGTCCACAAAATCTCACAGAGGTGACACAGGAAAGCACAAACAGGACAAATAAATACACACACACCCACACACACGCACACACAGACACACACACAGTCTCTTCAGTTGGTCAGATGGAAAATCTCACATCAATAAAATGACCATTGCATGTTAAGCACATATAAGGGAAGAGATGATAAAGAATTCATCAACTCAAAGAAAGATAAATTAAAAGAGTCTGCATGGAGAAGTAATCCCCGCCCCTGTCAGCGGTCAGCTTGGTTTGCCCTGTGAGATAACCAATCAAAGGTGACTGACAGCCTGTCCCGTTGAACACTCCCTGGCCATTGTTCATATGTACATGGGGGTCTCCTGTCCTGTTAGAAGTCTGAACATGGCCGCTGGCATAGTCTTCATGTGAATCTGGCAGTGACACAAGAAAAAAAAAAAGCAATTTAAAAGACCAAATATTTAAAGTGTTTTCTTATAGATATTAAGAAGATTGTCTATTTGTGTTTGTTTGAGAATGGCGGATTAAGAAATTATAATTGCATATTCTTGGATGCTCTCTTTACTATTTTTTTAAATAGTGAGTAGTAAAAATGGATGATTTCACACATGCCCAATACTTTCTGGCACAAAAAAAATCGCTCACAAGTCCTTTCCTTTACAATGTTTGAATGGGTTTCCTTGTGTGAAAACAGAAACTTCCATCCACACCTGCATTTTTTTTTTTTAGCCTTATTTTCACGAGCCAAAACCAGCATCCAACAGATGCACGTTTCCTTGTAGTCTAGCTAGTACTAGCTGTGAATGCTAATATAAGTTTATGGTTACTACATTTCCCATAATGTTACTGAGTAGTCTCTTTTGTAGGACTTCCTCTGAAGGTCCATCTTTCAAACACAAATCATTCTATACTCTGCATTTACTTGTTTCTACAGGTAAATCGTGAAATCAAAGATCATTGCTAAATATTTTAAAAGTGATGTGTTATAGTCCTTTGTGTGTTTGTGTGCATCAGTTTCACCTCGCCGACAGAGTTTGAGAGGGCCTGGACAATCTTCTCATGTGCTGTGGCCACCACACTCTGCCCATTGATCTCTATGATCCTGTGACCCACTCGGACCCCCCCTCGCTCAGCTATGCCTCCTCGCATCAGGCTGCATATCTGACAGACAAAAAACACACACAGGTTACATGTTATGTAATTAAATTATTGCCACTGTAAAGGTGACAAGTCTGCAGTGACAAAACAATGGCACCTGACCCTGAGGCTGTAAGAGACATTTTATATTCAAAAGGCCAAACTGATAAATTAAATCCTTGCTAAAGAGAATTTTTTTTTTAGCAGGAATTCTACTATGGCCATAAATATTGTTCAAGGCAGTACGGTAATTTATCAAAACACTGCAAATGACAAAATGTTTCCGAAGTGCATCCATCCAATACAAATCAAATAATGAGCAGATTAATCAACACTGCAACATGCACATGCTGAACAGAACTGATGCGAACCAAACGTCACATTAAAGTGAACACAAGGCAATGAGCAAAACAGAAAAAAACGCCATCTTAGGTTTTTTCTTTTCTTTTTTTAAACAATGACATTTTTGTTAATATAAAATACACAAAGTAACCAACCTATATGCATCTGGTTAACATAAAGAAGTCAGAAATGTACTCACAATGCCGTTCTGGACGCTGAAGCCAAGCTGATACTTTAAATCAGGTCTCTTGATGAGGACAGTGGTAACAGGAGGACAGCTGACGATGTTCATTTTCACCTGAACCTGGTTCTTCAAGCCCTTTGACACACAGAAACACACACACATTAACTGTGTGGTTAAATAAAAAAAATGTTTTTCAGCTGCACTACATCCTCAGTCTGTCTGTACCTTAATGATTCCCTGACAGGTGGCGAGTGGCAGCCCCACAAGGCTGGTGTTGTTGATGGACATGATCTGGTCTCCAATGCTGAGCTTGCCAGAGCGAGCTGCCGGTCCGCCGTTCATCATATTTGCCAAGATAACTGTGGGCAGGATGGAGCCCCAGCCAGACTCCACTATCACCACACCCAGGATCTCCCCTTTACTCTTCTCCAGCTGCAGCTGTGGAGGCAGGTTGGATTTCTTTGTCACACATTTCTGTGTTTCACCAAGTACAAAAACTGACATATAAAACATTATGACAGGAGCAAACTGATAACTGATGGATGTGAGACTATAACAGAGTGGAGGACACAAACATCATTCTATCATGCAACTTTGTGTCCTACCGATATTTTTCCCCTTTACAAACTGATGTGTTTTTAAGATCTAGAATCAAATGGTAGTTTTATTTTCACCCACAGTAAAAAAATAAATAAAAAAAAAAGCAACAAACACACATACAGCCATTATACAGAAAGTCTTCTATACATTTATTCTCTTTCCATTATTCTAGCTCACATCAGTGTCAGAAGGACAGTTTGCACAGCTGCTGTGGCTGAAGGTAACAGGCCTCCATTCTAATGTACTGTATCATACAGCTTTTCCTGATTCAATACAATAAAAGTCTGAGTAAAAGCACTAAGAATCTTCTTTTTCATAAGTCTGCTTGAAATACCCCTTCTTTCAGGTCTTATTTTTAAATTATAGTCAAAATCTGTGGTATAAAAGCAGCCCTGGAGCTAAAATGGTAGCTGGATTTGAAATATCACACTGTGTAAAATACAGTGAAACAAGACCAAATTCAAGCTACAGAGTTCCTCCAATACTCTTTCTATCTATATCTACCTTAGATTGTTGCTGGCTATGATGCAAGTTAATAAGTAACACTTATCTTAAGCAAATGTATCATCTAAACATTTTGATCAATCAATGGCTTCTCTCAAATAACGTTTACTATATGAAAAAATTTTTTGTAATATTATTCATTCAACACATTTTCTTTATGGACAGTTTTGAATCTAAACCTTGAATCTGAACCCAGTGTCAGCTCAGTGAACAACATGCCATTGCTTTAAATGGTAGTAATTTATTACACAAGCAATTTCATTCAGAGGCCTTTCTAAAAGTGTGTTGTTCCATTCATCACTGTTTAAATGTGTAGTGCATATTTCTTTTCTGGCTCTTTCCACCTGCGCATGAGACCACCGTACACAGGAAGCCTTGAGACGAGAGCTTGACTCTCAGCACAGTGGGACAAGAGGCTTTATTGCTTTAAGAAAGCCTTGTTTCCACATCACAAAAATTACCCATATGTCCCTTAAGTAGCAGCTGTGTGGTGACGACCATGTAGCCTCTCTGCTCACACAGCAGAATCTGTTTCACGCCTTTAATTTCTCCGAAAACCCTCCGGTCAAGGCTCTCAGGGCCAAGTGTTGGGCAAAGAGGAAATGTTAAAGATAAAAAAAAAGAGAAGAAGCTAGAGTTGTTATTCTCTGAGAGTATTTTCCATTCACCATCTGTTTAATCTGTCCAATTAGTGAACAGCTACTGTGTACTTTTATGTTTCACTAACAGCCCTGCAGCATCAGTTAGATGTGTAACACACGTGTTAAGTCGAACAGTGAATGGGTTGTTATTTTCCCCGCACTGACACAAACCCACAAATATCTTCAGTAATCTTTTTTATTGGCATATCATTTAATCCTGTGCAGCTAAATGAATATAGACAAACCTCTTTGCAGTTTTCAGAGTTGGAGAAGTGGATGAGGTCGTCATTGTACATCTCCTGGGTGTTGATGATGTCACTGTACTCCTTCTGGCTCAGGTCCTCTGGGTTGATGCCATTGGCTCTCAGGAACTCCTGATAAGCAACACTGAACGCCTGGCCGATGGATTGAGCGATGAGTTGGGCCTGCAGACAGAGAGAAAAAAAACACAATCATGACATAAAAACCTGTTGGGATCAGGATCAATTAGGATCAGAAAAAAAAGAATCTTTGAACAAAGAGCTTAAAACAGAGTCAACGACAGTTTAGAAAACCTTTGCTACCAAGAGAAGTTAAAGGTGTAAAAAAAGAAAGAAAGAAAAGTAACTTGTAAAAAACTTGAAACCCAAAGGCTGTGAGAGATAATATAGATCGAGAGAGTTAAGAGGGTGATTTTGCAAGCTGTGTTTTCCCCATTCTCCTATTTAATTGAATTTTGTTCTTATGTATAAATCTCTTGTTGAATTTGCAGACATTAATGTCCCAAGCACTTAAAATCAATAGTTGTTGAATTAGTTTTGCAGGACAGTAACAAGAACAAAAAGTCAGGACAAACAGCCAGCGGAGCTACAATAACAGAAACAGTTTATAAGTTGATGGATGAGCAGCTGAATGCTTCTATCATAACTCTGGAAGGCCTTTAAAACATGGCAGCTAAATTAGAGGAAGAGCGGACAGATTGGAATCCAGCCTTTATACCGACTGGCACAGAAAACTCAGCTGCTGGCTCCTCTTTACGACATTGTTCATGGTGCCAAGTCTTACCGAGTCTGCTTCAACAAGACGAGCAGCAGCTCTCTGTGTTTAAAGACATACATAAATAAATACTTAAAATGGCCAGCTAATTTACATACTGTAGTTTCACAGAGTGGAACGTTCTTATTGGTTACTAAAGGTCAGAGATTGTATTAATCTCCATGTTTAGTAACAGCATAAGTATCGGTGAGGAACAATGACCAAAACAACTGTAAATAAATAATATGTTGGTCAGAACCAAATGGAAAGTAAAGGTTATAATTGGAGATAACTGGAAGGCTCAAATTTAATAACAATCTAATAAAATCTAGTAACACTGACAAAAGTCCCCTTTTAACATTTTTTTAGACACTGGAAAAAATCCTCCAGTTGAGTCATCTTACATAATACCAGACTTCCTGTTATATCTGTTTACTGTGTAACCTGTCACCTGCTCCCAGCCGAGGGAGGATTTTTATCGAGATTCTCTCATCAACACATTAACCAAGTCGGCAGGTTTGTTAGCTTAAGAACACACAAAGCACTTACATCTTCAGATTCAAAGACGTGGCATATCATCTTGTACTGCTTCTTTGCCTCTGGTGCCCCTGGTGTGGTCTCGATACAGTCCTGAGAGGCCGTGCGTGGCATCCTGCGCCTCGCCATCAGCACAACGATGTTTCCAATGTCAGCAATGTAGGATATAGTGCGGAGCGCGTTGTCCATCATTGTCTCCTGCGGGGTATACCATCCAAAATCACACTCATCAGAGGAAAAAAAATCATCTTTTAAACACTAACCCTGTTTGTGTAATACTGAACAATGCAGTACAGTTACAACATGTCTTTAATATAAGCTGAACAGCAGAGGAACCAACTGCAAAGACTATGTTATCTAAATATAAAGCTGCTGCACAGATAATGAAAAATAGACTGAATGACCAGCATTGTTTTTTTACTGGGATGTGAGATTTTTGATGCACAGCAGTGAGTCCTGAAATTAAATAAATAAATAAATAAATAAACCTAATGTAGAAATCCCAAAAAGCACATGAACACATTCATTTTAATAATTCAGTGCCTCCTGACCAACTCCTTAAAAGCTGGTGATGTCATTGACGCAGGGCTTTATTCACCGCTCTCCAGCTAATAGAGATGACTGAGTTCATTACGGTACATACTCTCCTTACTAAACAGTGAAAGCATCGCAATGTGAATCCTACTGTGAAAAAATGTGGTTTTATTATTTGCATAATGGAGAGATTGAATGAACCAAACCATGAAACAACAAATAAAGCGAACCACAGCTGGACAAAGATAACAATATGTGTGTGTTTCATAACAATATGCTCTATAAATACACTGGAGAGTCCAGGCATTGTGCAGGATATCTGTTTCTTTGCTTTGTCAATGCAGCTTGATCCTTTAAGGACGTAGATTTAGACGATAGTTTCATGATATAAAAATGTCTACTCTGAATTGATTTCAACCCTAGTGTATAATCTGGTTAGAGCCCAATTAAGGGCCCAATATATTAGATCTTGAGTACATGATCATGGGTACAATAATAAACAGGGGTACAAAAAAAATGACTTGAGACAGGTTTGGATATCAGAGTGTTTGTGTTGATGAAACTAGGTGATTTGAACTGTGTAATCATGTTTGTTCACTCAGCCAACTAATTATCCTGTGTCATAATGAAGATAATATGAGGCATCGTTTGTGCACACAGCAATGGAGCTGCTGTTTAGAGGATATGGACTTGCATAGAAGGTGAATCTTTAGTTGGAACTTGTGTTTGTTCATATTAAATGATAAGATGTTTCATTTATTTTCAGCTGAGTTAACTGCAGTTTATTAACCGATCCTATTGGTATTATTTCTTTAGCTTAATAAGTGTTGTTGCTCCTTCCAACCTTTGGAGATGCTTGTATGAAGATTCAGTGCCAACGAAACTCCATGCTAGCTGCATCGAGCAACTCAATTGCGAAATGAAGCTTTTTAATCAGAATCTCTTTCTAAAACAGAGCGAGGACCAGTGACAACCAGATGGAAATGAGAGGAAGATCCACACTGCATTGCAGCACGTCAGTATCTGCCAGGCGGCTGCCCACACACCCACACACACACACACGCACGCACACACACACACACACACACACACACACACACACACACACACACACACACACACACACACACACACACACACACACACACAGTCAGTCAGTCAGTCAGCAAGACAGCAGCTCCGACTCATACATTGCAAATGAATCATCTATCAAATGTACATTTAAGTGCTACAGTGAGCACATTGTCTATTTATGATCCAAAATGAAGCTCTGCAAAATTCTTCTGCTTCTATCAAACACTCGACCTCCAGAAGATTGAACTGCTGATTAAACCACCGCTTCTTGAAGTAAAGTGAACTTTGACAAAGCACCTGCAACATCGAAGTTATGTTTAAAGACTTACAGGAGAGTTCATTTTTCCATTAAACAAGGCATTCAAAGATTATTGAGAATTTCTGCACTTCTGGTTCCTTTATTTCAAAGTAAGTATTTTTTTTTTTGCCTTGTGATTTGGGTTTGGGTTATAAACCTGAAATGAGGTAGGTGTCTTACACAAGCTTCAGAGACTTTCTTCTTATGTTCCAGATATACAGTAAAAATGTCTGTAAATACCCGCTCCTTAATTCTGAAACTTTACTAGATATAAAAAAGGCAGAGGCTAAATAAGCCTTCAGAGGTTGTTTGGGAAATGTCATCACACTGAACAGGGACAAGTTGGAAGTTTAACCATAGTAATGTCTAGGCCATGTTCCCATACTGTCGTTCACTTATAGCCTGAGCTTAGGTTTTTCCTTCTGGCGATTGCGTTTTTCCCCCACGCAAAAGTGGAGTTAAAGAGAGAAATCTTACTGAAGAAAAAGTGTTCAGGAATTTATTTGAACTTGAAACAAACAACAGCCTTTTCACAAATTACTCATTCAGTAAAGATGTGTTTATTTTCCGAGGTTTATACTGACGTTCAAAGCATGAAGAATTTACATTGTACTAAATACAAGGTGGGCAGATTGTGCTGCAGTCAAACGCCTTGCACTGCAATAAGGACAGATGTTCGTGCAGTATTTTCAGGCTTTGCAGCGTTCATTCTGACATCATGAGATTACATTATTAAATAATAATCATTGGTGAGGTTTCATAACAAGCAATGTGTATCAAATGTTAAGCTGCAGTTATGTCAGCTATGACACAGCAGCATTGCCCTGCATGCCGGGCCTGTTTGTCTCAGTGAATATACAGCTCATGTCCACACAGGACGAAAAGCCACATTGGATAGAATCACAATGTATTTTTGCTGGCTGGTACTCACCTGTGAGTCTGCATTGAGGACTTTGATCCTCTGGGTGGAGATGAACAGATCGACCTCAGTGAGCGTTGTAGCATCCCCGTCTGCATTCTGCAACAAGATGAAGACAAAAACAAGACGTGGTCAGATTGTCATCTTTAACCTTGCTTTAAGTATTCAACAAGACAGTTTATGATAAATAATTAGTCACAACTGAATGGTGTCTGTGTTGAACGTGGGAAGGCTTAAGTTCAGATATCCATAATGCATGCATGGAAAAGTTTGAGGATCCAGTTTGAGAAATGCTTGTTAGGATGACAGGTTGTTGAGTCTCCAGGTGAGGTGGAAAAAAGCAGGAAAAAAAAAAAAGAAGAGTTTTGCAGTGGTGTTTCTTGACATCAACTGTCCTGGCACGAGGATTGCCAGCTGGCACAGAAACACGAAACAGCTTAACACTAAACCATGACCAGCTGGCTTGTTTCACCAGTGAGAGCAATGCAACTTCAGCACAGATGACGTCGGCACACATTACTTTATAATCACTGTGAAGCGCAGGCTAATAAAATTGTATTTGCTTTTGGCTAATCACAAAAGCATGGCGCACTTTGAAATAAGGCAATGGTGATAAAAAATATTAAATCAAAGACATATAGCTGTAATTATAACAGCATGTATTTTAAATGGTGGCTTGTAATAGCCCTTTCACTTGTTTCGCTACCAATTCATTGAGGATGCATGGACACTAAAAAGATGTGATAATATATTATAATCCTCTTTTGGGCAGTAGCTTTAAGAATTACTCATTTCCAGAACATCCTTTTACTATAACCACAAAACAAGTATGTACTTTTAAATGAGCTAAGCTAGTAGGCACAGCTAACACTGGTATTATACTGTAAGTGAATGCAGTAATACTCCCATTTTTCAAATCCATCCTGCCTCGTGGATTTAATGTACAACTGTATTTATGGGACAAGTGCGAATCAGCCTCTTCTATTACGGACTTCTGCCTGTCTGATTGATGCTTAAACCCAAATTCTTCTTCTATCTTAGGCCGTTTATGGATAATCCTCTTCTCACTGTATCTCACCAGAGTGTTAAAGACATGATCTGTGAATTATAGCTAGATTTACTTTCTGCTTCAAACCATGAAAAAATGTGTTAATCTGAGAAATGTGAAACCTGCACAGTAACACACCCTCATAAATCTTAATGTTTAATGTTATATACAGTGCAAACTGGTTGTTAGACATTTTAACCGGCTCAAGATCCTCCATTAATAACCTCCAGAATCATTTATTTAAAGCACTGGTTTCACTCGAAACACTTCAATTTATCCTCAACACAGGAAGAGAGCAAAAAAAGTACAAAACCTTAATGTGGTTGGATTTATAATATGTAATTATACCAAAAATACCACATGAGAAACATAAGATTTTATGTAACATTTTGATCTCAGGAAACAGTAAGTGTTATTTCAAAGACGAATACAGACTAATATTTACACTGAATTAAAACAGACCCCAAAAATACAGCCAGATGTTTCTGTACAGTTTCCTTTTGACTTGTTTTCTATCACCTTGTGCTCACGGCTGTAGTTGTGTATGAGTTCAGTGTACGAGGCTTAAAATGCATCTCAATCTATAAAACATGGTATGATTAGTCTGTTTAAATCTTTAACTCCAGTTTTGGATATTGCGGCACTGAAAAGACTTTTGTTGAATATTACAAAGACTTGTAATCTTCTCCAGTGACTACAGTTTGAGCAATAATACCTTTAAGGCTAATTAAAGACCGGCACTGACAGAATGTATAGCCATCGACGTAACACAAAATCTCATGTGTCCCTATTCTTAAAAAAACGAGAAAAGATTTGTTTGAGTCAATTAATGAAAATGACAAAGATGAAAAAGACACAGACAGGAGAGGACACACAAAACCAGGGACAATTTGAATGTAAAACAAAAGGTGAGAGTGGAGGGGAAAACGGCCAAAGGGTCTTTCTTTTGCTCTGTTTTTTTTTACACACCGCCTTTTTCTTGATTTTGGCAGCCTTCTGTACCCTCTGGCAGGCAGGCAGGCAGGCAGGCAGGCGTTGGGATGGGGCAAGGTCAGCGGGTACGGGAGCACAAAAAACAGGAGGAAGAGGAGGAAATAAAGAAGGTAAATAAAGGAAGGTAAGGCAGTAAAGCCCCAAACCAAACGGTATGGTGTGCTATCACTCATGTCAGAAACAGAGACAGGGAAAGAGAGAAGTGAGTGTGAGTGTGTGTGTTTGTGAAGAAAGCGATGGCACAGCCGTGTTGGTCATCAGCTACAAATCTAACAGCAATTACAGAGGGTAAGAATTGCTTTTTTTTTCTGTTTTAAACACAAAAACAACAAACACAATCAAAAGTCAAGGGGGAAGATTTTAACTGCACACTTTCGGGTTTGCTCACTGGGCTGCATAAAAAAAGTTGAGTCACTATGTTTGGAATTAAACAGCTTAAATCAACACGGTGGCAGTTGTCCACAGCTAATGTGCTAACAGCTTGATTAGTTCATCAGTTATTCTGGTTTGGCGTGTGCCCTGCAGGAGTTCATCTTACACAGATAATCTTTTGCAATACTCTGTAATCTTTCAGAATCAACTCTTCTGGTACTTTACAGAGTTCAAGCCCAGCTACCGCCACTCTCTCCATCTGCGGTCGACCAGAGGAAATAATCTTGACGTTCATTTCATTAGAGAGTGTGAGACTGGATGTTTGCCTGAGCCACTGTGCTGTTACTGTCGATATGGAATAAGAGAGTGGCGGAGGGGGGGGGAGGAGTGAGTGAAACAGCCCAAAGGGAAGAGTCTTTTTTTGAGGTTGTAAAGTTTCCTTCTCCATGATCAGCTCTCACGCAAGACAGACATCTGAGGGTTTCTGCAACATCTACTGCTCGGCTGAGGAAGAGCAGAGCAGGGAGGGGAGAGACAGCAGGAGAGAGAGTGTGTGGGGGGAATGAAGCTCTATAAATATTACATCAAACAGACTGAACATCATGCCAAAAAGATCTGCATAAATAACCTATACTGCCTTTCTACAGTTTACCTGGCACACTACCTTTTCTCAGTTCAGCTCGACATAGTCTAAGTGCTTGTTTATACCTCATGTTTGCTTGTTGAGGCTGATCTGGAGCCTTTAAACAAGTATGTCTACACATTAATGTGTGCTTTTTTTTGTGAGTGGTCAATGTCCATTTCAATGCCAAAGACGAAATCTTGTTTAACGTACAGCTACTACTTTTTCAACGAGGGACACATAAAGGAAATAATGGACGTCCTCTGGTTCACTGGACCCGATCCAATCGGGGGAGGCACTAAAGGATGATAGCTAACTGTTGCCATGGTTTCATCCTGACAATACTTTTTGCAGGGAAGGAAATTGTGCATGACAGACTGAGCGAGTGAGAGGAGGAGAACCAGATGAAGACTGGAAATAGATGTGAAATGATGCCAGTTGAGGTTTTCAGAGTGAAAACAGCAAACAAGACTTAAAGGCTTTCAGACCCTGATCCTTCACTTTGCTTTAATCCAGAGTACATTTTGATCAGAGTGATGCATCCTCAGATTTTAGATTAAGTAATACACTTAAAAATGTGATGCCATTTGCTGTAAGAAATAGCTTGGGAGACTCAGTAAAATGTATTTCTGCTATGATCATTTCCATTGCTGATTTTAACTCAGTGGTGTTTCAAACAAGGAGTTGTCATTATGCAAAGAAACTGTGGCTCAAGGACAAAACTCAAGAGAAAAGATTTGACAGGACAAAGTACACCCAACTGTTACACACCAAGTTAGCACCAAATGCTGAGTTTAAGCTGTTTGTTTTGATAACCAACACTGACTCATTTATTTTAATGATTTACATAAACAATTTAAAAACGTTACTTTTATCTATATTTCATTCAGGAGTACTTTACAACATGTACCATTTAAAACATTCAATTTCTCTATTCTTTCTTTTCCTGTAGAGAAACATTTTTGTATCCTCAAATTAAGAAATCAAAACAATTAATGTTTTGGTGTTCGTACCAAAACCCTGGTATTGTATTGGCCTAGAAAGTTGCCCATAAAAATGATTGTTTTGAAACAAATATGGACGTGCACATTTTTTTTGTATCATTATATTAGACCTTCTTGTCATTTCAATCCCTCTTCAGCGACAGACTCATGTATTATATTGTAGTTGTAGGGCAGGGACTCAACGATCTGTTTTCTATATTTAAATGACAAACATATATGTCAATTCACTACGCCTAATAAAACATAAAGATCCTTGAAAATAAAGCCAAAAAAAATTGGAGGACAAATAATTGTTGCTGATACAATGCATCTGGTTCCTGATATTAGATGTTACAGGGCAGTAAGTTCCTCCATCTCTCTTTCTCTACTGTCTTTTTAGCTTTCAGCTTTCTAAAAGTAGACTTCTGCACGGGAGGTCATTTAATATTTAGAAACACAGCCAAGCCTGTGTTCACATGGGAGGCAGATAAAAGAGACTGGTGTTTGGGCAACAACTGTGCACTCAAACATCAGCACTGCATTATGTCATCACATCACGGAACAATCTTCTTTGATCAAACAAGTCTTAGTCCATGATACAGAGAAGGAAAAAAAAAAAGCGTAAAGTCTAACTACTTCTGAAAGATGGAAAATGGGCTTGTCTGTTGGACACGAGCACTTCAGGCAGAGGCAAGAACACATCGACCGGCTTATCCAAAATAATGAGTCACTCTTCTCTATTTTATATTAGTACTATACACAGTACTTTTCTGAAAATGCACATGAATATCTTCATCACACTGTGACATCAAGAACGAACAGCAGGGTGCAACTTCAACAAGGGAAATATAAGGTTGAGGCAGTTGTGTCAAACACAAGTTCTATATGTGTTCCCCCTAAGACTGCTTACACTTCATATACAGTTACACTAAACCAGTTGTGTTTTGCTTTAGACACAAGCAGCTCCATTTGCTATGTACATTTTATCATGAGAGAAATTGCCCATAATCATTACCAATAAAAACTCACAACAATCATCAGGAGGTATATAACACATACAATCCAACATTATTATCCATGAAAACCTGCTGCACATATTGCCTGTGGGGCTGTAGTATATTTTACAGGGTAACCAATGCAGTCATAAGAGCAACAAGATGTCTATAACATTTTGCTGTCACCTCTGGGGAGAAAAGAGAAAACTGCCATGCTATACAAAAATGCCCTTTTAGGCTTGGACAGCAAATCAGCAGGACTGAAAAGATGTGTAAATGAAAGTCAAATAAATATTAACATAAACAACCCATGAAACCACTCAGCACTATCACACATTAAAAGCTTGTTTAAAAAGGCGAGTCTTTATCCATGATTTGAATGTGGATGGGTCAGTGCAGTCTTGAATATGTTTGGTGAGTTCCAGTGGGAGGGGGCAGCTATGGAGAAGGCTCTGTCCCCCCAGGTTGAGGTTATGAGTCTTGAATGAGTTTCACGGCAGACACTACCAGGTAGGGTCACTTTTATGACCATACACAGATCAGACTCAACCAGGACCACCAACTTCAAGGACTACAGCCTCCATACATGGGGCTCAACCTAACCTGATGCTAAAATCCCAAACTACTAAATGTAGAGAGGATTAAAATGGAAAAAAGCCTGTGTAATTATGGAAGTGGTATCATGTTTGTTTTAAGATTGCTAAATAAGATTGCTTGCTTTCCTCAGATTCACAGCTATTGAAACTCAATCAGAGTAGCACAAACTTCTTTTACAGTTCCAAAAAGTTCCAATAGTTCTACAATCAGAGGGAAAACACTCAGGAACTAAGAATTCTTTTTGGAGGTCCAGCTCATCTGAAGAGCTGTTAAGATAAGGCTTCAGACCAATGCCACATTTTAAAAACCAAGGGCCTTTTAAGAACACATTTTCAAACACAAGGAAACAACAGCACACACTCATCCTGTGATGCTTTGATGTCTGCTGTCTGTGTGAAATACAAACAGAAAGGAAAATGAAAACCACAGACTGTCTTCAAAGTGACTGCTGTTCGTTTCATAATAATTTTCAGTTTTTTCCCATGTTGTTTTTCCCATAGTTTGTTACTCTTATTTATTCTTTTTGGTGCCTCGCTCATTTGAAGATCTATCGACCACAGTGCTCTCTTTAATTCCCTTTTTTCTTTGGCCAGGGAGAAAACTACATATTTTAAATGCTACAGAATGACAAGAAATGTCCTCCCCTCTCTTGAGTGTTATACAAGGGTGCACATTATTTTGTATTTTGTGAATTAAGCTGCACAAAAGTGAGAGAAACTTAAGTTTCTGTGTTTGAGCACTAAATGAGCCCTGCAAATTAATCCCCACCAGAAAGTAGACTACTTCGTTTTTAAAATTTGGACTAAATTGATCTATACATTGATAGTTACATTTAGTCACTAGTATTCAAAATGCAGCTACAGTTCCTGAATTAACTTCAAGGTTCTTTGCTGGTTTGAAAGTTATTCAGGTGGAAACTAGCCTAACTAAGTTCTGGATGTTTCCAGAATAAGGCAAAGATTATGTTTAACTCCTCCTGAGGTGAAAACAGAATACAAAAAAAAAGAAAATCTTAAATGGGTTGGAGATATCTTCAGGCCACAACTTAACTCAATGCGTGTGTGTGTGTGTGTGTGAGTCAGTGTGTCTGGGTGTGAGTGGGTGTGTTTTTGAGTACCTTGACCCTGCTGACAGCCTCCTGGGCCTGCATCATGCGTATGTTCTTAGAGGGGTTCCTTTCAGACAGCAGCTGAGTGGAACCCAAGTAGTTAGCAGCAAAGATAATTCCATCAATCAGGTCTTCTGGCTCACAGGGTCCTGGTACTGGGCCATGGAGAGAAGCAGAGAGAATGGTGATTAACAGGGAGGCATGGTGAATGGCAGAGTAGAGTCAGTCGGGTCTACAGTGAAGAGGGTATTGTATCCAGCAGTAATGAAGCCAAACAATGCCGCCCCAGAGCTGGGAAGGTGGGGATAACAGTTTAGGTGGGATGGAGCCAAGAGATGGCCAGGCTGGCTGTGAGTTGATGGAGGTGCTGCGCTGGTGGGAGGCTGGGCTGAGAATAATCTGCGTCTGTGATATGTAGATGTGCACTCTCAGTCACCCACTCAGGGACATAATGTGCTGTTATGATCTGAAGGAGCAGACCAGCGGCTAAGCCCCTCACACATTATTAGGTCAATCATCTTTCCAGAGGCAGGGAAGAGTTATATCCGGTCTGGGATGTGACAGATGGAGGGCAGGGTAATATTAGGAGTTGATTTCATTCATTCTATTTCATTTCCAAACAATCAGGTGAGTGGAAAGATTAACTTACCATCGACGAAGCTCGGGAATGATGCAACCTTCTTTGTTGGCTGGAAGACAGAAACATAATATACCAGATAAATGGATGTGAGAAGGTTTACAGAGAATTAGGCATGTCTCTCAAGCCTCAAATAAACCAATCAACACATGAAGAATTCATTCCATTTGTGAATGCTGTCAGGTGTTCCACTCGGCTAACCTCTGCTGATTTTTTAATTTGCATCATGCATTTAAACAGTATGTGCGAGTTCTCTGAATTCCTATGTATTTCATTTCCATTTCATCATATTTTGAAGCCTGTTGGTTTACTCCAAGTAAAGCCTTAGAAAAAAAAAACATGAATGAAGAAATAATCATTTCTGTCTTCTTATTGAGAAATTCTAAGAAAGGACTTGTAACATTTGCCTTTCCTCACAGCATAAAAATAATTTGATTCCTCTCTGACCTACCAAAGAATGCAAGTCGACCCTCCTGCTGTGTGCAGCATTATGCTCTTGTGCTATTTGGAATGTAGTTGATTTTCACAAACATATGAATACAAACCCATTGCAAATAGTATGAGCCATTTGATGAGAAGAATTTTGAGAAGTCAAAATAATTTTTGCCGTCAATACTGCTTTTCTTCTAGAATGATGAGCAAGAACCCCGTTAATGTTAATAATTAATTCCCTGTAGGGTTGATCCTGATCACCATTTTGGCTTCACACAATCGCATAAACATGAATGACAGCATTATTGGGATTAAGATGCATGCTCCACACATAGAAACCTGCTGCATATAAAATCAAGGACTAACAGCTACTCCCTCAGGGGACGACCAAGAGGTTTTGGCTTTACTTTTGGGTAAGTTTGAATGTCATGTCAAGAGCGCCAACTTAAGTGGAAGAGTAAACAACAGACAGGGGTAGAATCAAAAGTCAAATGTGTGGAACAGAAGACAAAGAGCTGGTCTCTTTTAATTGCTTGCCGCTGGTTGTTTGGAGGTATTTCATCGATAGGGCAAGGGATGTCGAGCAAGAAAAAATGATCTGCAATGAGTGAATGAAACCACTGCCTGCCGTTTATCCAAAACGATGTCGGAGAGTAAGTACAACACAAGCAAGGATCTAGAAAAAAGGAAACGATGTCTGAAAGTGTAAACGATCAGCTTTGAGTCTGACTGGACATACAGGTGCAGGCATTGCAAAACAAGACAATCTCTAGAAAATGCATCCAATTCAGGTACAGAACTTCATTTTAAGTATTTGATGCTTCATTAGTGCATGAGCCAGAAAGCATTGCTCTGTCTATTTAAGTGTGAAAGTACAACAAAAAAATGGGCCAAAAATAAATGAACGATTGGGATTATAATTTTAGCCATAATACTGCTGCCCAAATTAACTGTAAAGAAATGCATTTGCTTGATTTCACTTGGAATAGGAATCATAAATATTTTGATTTTTTTTTCACATTCATTTATGGATGCACCAATCTGATCCTGGTATCAGATAACAGCAACAGCAACATAAAAAAAATGGACAACACAAGAATGCAAAGCTTTGGCTGCTTTGCACATACAATGCAAAGCAGCTGTAATAGCAGCGCGTCAGTGATGCCATTGTAAGTGGTATTTATCTATTTAATTATGTTTTACAAAGTTGAGAAAACCTGAGGCTGCCTTACACTTAATGATTCCCAGTGTCTTCCTCGCAGTGAGGAGTGTGGGTTATTATTTTATCACTGGTATTGGATCAGAACTCAATATAGGCAGATATCCAAAGCCCAGGTATTGGATCAGCATCAGAACTCAGAAAGTTGCATTTGTCCATCTTTACATTCACCTTTCTTCTTCCATTGCTAGAAGCCCTGGGTGTATACTGTATGCTTTGAACAAGGACACCGCAAAGGTTGGTGTGGAGTAAGTACATAGTGTTACTCATCCTCTACACATTTACTTTGTTGTGAGGGGGTGCAAGAGAGAGGAGAAAAAGGAGGCAGGAGGAAGCTATAGACAAGAGATGGCCGCAGAGAGAGCTCTGAACAAGTGATTAATTAGATTCAAACAATCATCCCTGCTCAACCTGCTCGCTATACAATTAGACATTTTACTCTGCCCAAGGACAAAGAGGCATTGGGCTGGAACCAACACAGGTAGCATCCACTGCGGACATTTCAGTGAAATATGGATCTCATAAAACCTTGAGCACAAGCACTGCTCAATTACCAGGACATCGCAAACTGAGGACATGAGCCGAGGTTGTAATTACACAATTACTAATTTACCCAGTGTGACAGTCTCACACAAGCACAGGCACATAAACTCACATGAAGAAAGAATATCCTGTATCCACAGCCTAAGTGACCTACCTAAGTGACAGAATGCAACAGCTCTAGGAAGCACTGGGACAGAAACTCTTACCTCGGGTACATTGTTGTTCTCCAGGGGGACGTTGAGGTCGGAGCGCTGTTGTTTTCTGGGTTGCTCTGCACCATTGCTCACCTGGTAGGTCAACACAGAAGAACAGGTGTGAGCAGATAAAGATTAAAATAGGATGAAATAGAATAGCAAAGAGGAAAACATCCTCTTTTTTCTTTTTGTTGCTGGCTTGTTTTTGGCCACAGAGATTCATCATGGAGGAAACGTCGTGTTGAGTCTGTCTTTCACTTGTCCTCCAGCCTCCTTTCTCTTGTTTCGTCTTTCATCACGTATACCTATATAGTGTACATGCATATAATCACACAGAGGGAGGATTACATTTATCCCCTGGATATCCATCTTGCAGTCCACAACTGCTCATTAACATTCATTCGTGTATCTGGATGAAATGAAGTCCTTCAGCCAATAAAAGCTAGTCCTTGGTGTAGCATGAAAAAGTGAAATTCAGAAGAATAGTCTATACTGTTGTTGTTCATTAACAATTGAATTAATCATACCAAACATGACTCTACGTGGCCTGCTGTGCTAAACAGAGCTGAGCATAAAATCCTGATTAGTATTCATATTCAGCAGTGCAAACATCCATTAAATAGATGAGATGTGTGTGGTTTGGTGGAATGGCATGCTAAAGTGTGATGTTTAACAAAGTTTTAGTCATGTATAGGATCCAAAATGACTCCAGGAAAACATTGTACATGCCTTCATTTGTAAGATCAAAAGCGAACAAGCAGAACTTTCTCATCCATTAATCAACACCACATCACTCTTTAATCTATTAGCATAATTAGCATTCACAGGATCAGCACTGAGAGGCATAGCAGTTACTGCCAGCTTATTAAAACACAATGGATTCAGCATTTTTTATTTTGAAAGTGTTTTGATATTTTCCCCTTCTAACTAATTTTCAAATCCGCTGCAAGTTAGAATTACAATAATGTTTATTCGTCAGTAAAATTAACAATATGAGTGTGGACATGGTGTCTCTTAGTGGATCAACAACTTCAATTACAGACAAAAGCCATAGAAATTATATATAAAAAAATAAAGATAAAATCATAACTATCCCAAACAATTCAAATACAACACACCAACAGGATGTGTTTTGATGACCTCCCTCTGTTTCATAACTGGGCTTTTATCATAATCTCTTGGCTTCACACTGTGCAGCAAAGCTCTTATTCAATTCTTTGTTGTCCTGGTTCATTCAGAGGTCATGTTGAAGTGGTGGACAGAGAACATTTTATTCAATACCAGAGGACGAAACATCTAAGTGAGACCAGGATTCATCTGAATCTGCAGTGTACTCTAGATCCTCCCAGTGTATTGTGTGCTGTCTGACCCAGTTCTACACAATGAATGTAGAAGCACATGTTACACACACTGTGGAGCAGGTGTGATCAGCATGCTGCCTACAGGAGACTATCTGTGTTCTAATTTTACCATCTGACTTTTAGAAGATCGGGGAGGACTGCATGTGCTGGAGTCTATTGATGTGTGAGCATTGTGTGTGTGCACTAATCCAGGTCTGAGAGGAAGAGATGAGAAGGCGGGACATCTCAAGGTAACACTGGGGAGGGGAAACGCAGCAGATAGTCTCTGGGAGGCAAAGAGCAACACGTCATCCGTAACTCATCTTGTGCCCTTCACTACAAAGCTCTTTAAATCACACAGGGTGGAAAGAGTCTCTGCCACAGAGCACTGAAATAGCCTCAATATACTGTGCATTGTGTACCTTCTATACATGTAGTACGATTGCACACATTAGAAATAAAGACCTCTACGGGCCCCCTGAATGCAGTTGTTGGTGCACTTTTTGGCATTTCAACATCTCTTTCTTTTAGAGTCAGGTATATAGTGTGAGCAATGCATGCAGTTGTTGCTGTAACATTTGTTCTATGTCTGTTTGGATTTTATCTTTTTGCATTTACAGGTGTAGCAATCTAGAAAAAAGCACTGTTGGAAAATAGCATCCCCATCTCTGGACAGAGTATAACATGGGTACATTTTACAGTGGTTAGAATTATTCTTACATTCAATTATAATAATTTGAGCTAATGTATAATGTGTATTCCTTTGTTAAACTGAATAATTTTGTATCATCTGCTATATCATCTGGTTTCTTGAAATCAAAGAGTCTGATTTACAAAAAGGCATTTTAGCTAAAGTCCTGAGGGAAAGGAGGGGAATAATCAATAATCAAAAGAATTTTCTAAATGTAACGGCTGATATTTTACAAAGGGTATTACTAACATGTGTTAAAAATCACTTCACAGAAGTTGAAATGTTTAATCACTGACAAAAATCAGATTTTTGATTGCCAGTATTGTTTTTTAAGTGTATAGTGTACACAAAGAAACAAGTATTCATTTGTATTGTTTTGATTTTTGCAAGAAACAGATGCTTGTTTTTTACAATTTTAAAAGAACCAGATTGTTGGTCCCCAGAACAGCAGATCTCTCTTCCTTAGCAAGCAGCTTGCTTTGTTCTTCGTCTGACAGCTGATGGAACACTGGTCTGAATCTACCTAAGTATATCTGTTTTTTTATTTTTTTAAGGATAATAAACTTAGTTATCATATATCAGGACAAACAGGAAATCGCTTCACCAAGCCTGTTAATCTAACACACTCAAGCATCTAGATAACCCAACTGTCAAATGTGTTTCTAAATACTTGTTAATATGGCTTATGGCTTATGACTCCGAATAGTACGAGTTTTGTGTTCAAATAAAATGTATTGTATTAGGGATATTGTTCCCAGACCTCTTCAAAACTGCTCACCTGCTCCTGCTGCCATCTCTGCCTGTCTTCAGGGGAGCGTGGATGTGCCTTGATGCCCCTCTGGAGGTCTGGGTTGTTGTGATGCATGGAGGGCAGGTTCAGGGACTTAGGCCTGCTGTCATGACGATGGTGAGCTGGAGGGTAGGGGGCCGGGTCGGGTTTGGGGTGAGGGTAGTCACTCGATGCAGGGTCCTGCGCCAGCTCCTCAGGGCTTTGGTCAGTGCTGCTGCTTAGACTTCCCATGCTCATGCTCATCTTGATCTCTGCAACTATTTGGTCAATGTCCTCCTCCGCCTCCTCCCCCGTCTCCCCTTCTACCACCAGCACCTTACGGTTAAGGTACGGAGAGACCCTTACTGAGTTCCCATTGTCCTCTGGGGCATAGTAGTCTCCAGTGTAGGCCCTTCCATGTCTCTCCTCCTCGTCCCCCTCCTCATCTTCCTCCTCATTAGGGCAGTAGTCCTCACTCTCCTCCTCCTCGTCTTGGGTGTCTTGCAGTGGGGGAGGGTGGTGGTGAAGATGCTTTTGGTGGTGGTCAAGAATAGGCTCAGGTCTTCCATTGTATATCTGTTCATCTGGATCCTGTTCCACCACCTCACAGCGAACCTCCCCTTCTCCCTCACCCCACTCCTCCACCCTGCTCTCCCGTCCCACCCACTGACCCTCCTCTTTCCACTCCTCCCTGGCATCCTCCTCTCCCTCTTCTCTCCACTCCTCCCTCACCTCTTCTCCCTCTTCTCTCCACTCCTCCCTCACCTCCTCCTCCTCTTCTCTCCACTCCTCCCTCACCTCCTCCTCCTCTTCTCTCCACTCCTCCCTCACCACCTCCTCCTCCTCTCCTCTCCACTCCTCCCTCACCTCCTCCTCCTCCTCCTCTTCTCTCCACTCCTCCCTCACCTCCTCCTCCTCTTCTCTCCACTCCTCCCTCACCTTTTCCTCTTTCCACTCCTCCCTACCCGCATCCTCTCCTTCCTCTCCTTCCACCCACCCTTCCTCTCTTACCTCCCCCACGACCGCTCCCTCCTCAGCCCACCCTTCCTCAGCCTCCTGGCCTTCATCAGCGTGTCCCTCACTCTGTTGCATGGTGTTGGTGCTGTCGCCCTGGCTGTGTCCGTGGTTACAGTCTCCCTGGCTTCTGCAGTCCACACCCTCCATGTAGCTGTCGTCCTCTGGACAGTAGCGGATGTAGTAAGTCGTACCTTCATCCTCCTCTGCCAGCCCTGCAGGGATTTATGATCACAAACACGTGTTTTTTAATGCATGGGGCTTGTTGATCAAACCAACAATTAGAGCTTCATTTCTAAACACTCACAGGTACTTATTAGAGGAGAGAATCACATTTCTTAATCCTGAGTTCCATTTAGGTTTGTCTCTAACAATTACTCTAACTGATGTCTGTTGTTTGTCGGAATTAGCACAATTGCTAACTTCAATCTGAAGGAATTTTGCAAATGCTGTAAAGGAAAATATTTGTATTTGTATGTAATATGTTACTTAGAAAAAACACGCTTGCTTGAATTCACTCACACACGCACAAAGAGTGATTTCAGGCGATGTTGGCATTTCATCTGAATAAAAAAATTACAGAGTTTGTTGATGATGCTTCCTCTAACAGTTTTTGTTGTTGTTTTGTTCTGTTTTTCTTTCCTGGGTTTGCTGTTAAAAAACGAGATCTCCTCTTGAAATAAAAAAACCCTGAAATAAGTCTTTTTGTCCCTCTTTGAATCAGTAAGGAATAGAGCAATCATAATCGACAGAATGGATATGGGGGAGGATATAATCTATTTCTGTGATCAGTATAAAGTAATTAAGCACATGATAAACATCATAGTCACCGTCATCATAGTCTTCCTCGTCATCTGATGTGTTATTAATGTAGTCAGAGCTGGAGTCGTCATCCAGGCTGTCAGCTCCACCGTGGAAGTCCACCCCGTCATGCTCATCTCGGTCTCGTTCATGTTCTGGCGAGGAGGGTGTAGCTGGCCGCTGCTCCTGCTGTTCTGGATCTGCTTGGTTGCTGTAGCGCTTCACTTCCACCACTGTGTCCGCTTCTGCTTCTGGATGGTTGTGACTCACATCCTGAGACTTAGGAGGGGAGTACTGTACCTTACAGGAACGGGGGAGGGGTTTCGGATCACGTGACTCTTTGGGGTAGCGGATCGGGCGTTGCCGAGGAGGGAGGGCTTTTGGTTCACATGACTCGGTAGGATGAGGGTTGGAACAGAGGCCTGGAGCAGCCATACTGTTTCCTCCGCTGTTCCCTGGCCTCTTCCTATGAGCCATGATGGGCTGCTTACAGGCCATGCATTGTTATTGGTTTGACCCTAGGAGGCGGAGAAAGACACAGGAGGTACAGCGTTAGAGCAAAACCAATACAACTTTAAATCACCCCGCCTCATCAAAATGTCAAATTTGCTTGGAGTTGATTCTTCTCTTAAAATTCACACCCTCACAGCAAACATAGTCCTTCAATAATCAATCTAACTAATTTTCTGCACTTTGCAGACAGCTGCAACATATTTGGAGTGGCTGACTAACCAAACTGTCTCTGTTATGAAGCACTAATTTACTTAACTCACACTCAGAGCACCTTTTTTGTGCTTATTCAGCACAATTTTGGATTCAAGTTGGCAACAGTGGGCTCAATATATCGCTGAAGCACAGCTTCACAATAACAGACACAAAGAGCGAGGCGTTGTTTAGGGACACTGCCTTCACATGATGAACTTAATCAGACACTGCTGGAGAAAGAATCAATAGTTAAATCAAAGTCATCTCTACATAGGGCTTGCACATGTGCCTGATACCAGTGGGCTTGCAGATGTCAGTCAAGACTTGTATTGATTGATCAATATTGTAGCTTATGGCTGAGAATGATCAACCTGGGAGACAATAAAGTCTCTTTCAGAAGAGGACTGGGTTAATTCGTGGGAAGGCAGCACAATGTTACTTGTTGTGGTGAACATATTTAGAGATAGAAGTCGTAAAATCAATGCTTCTTCTTCAATTTGAAAACCATAAACATCATGGAACTGAACCTCTGCCAGTTTTAAGTGGTGGTTACTGTGATGAAACGTGACTGATTTTACAACACACTTTAGTATCTTCACTGTCCAGCCATTTAACATGAAAGTATCCTGTATGGTAATCAATAAGACATTGAAGCTTTGAATATATAAACATTTAGAGCAACAAATAGCAGGCTGTGTAACTGCAGCTGTTACAAAAAGTGTTAGTAAGCTTACTTTCAACTATATAGAACAGATGTTATTAAAATCAAAGGAAAATAATAAACAGATTTATATTCACTAAATCCTATTACACACATACAAAACACACATGCATGCAAGCCAGCATGAACACACAAACAAACCACAGCAAGGATTAAATTCATCTTAATTTTAGCAACCAACTTTAAAACAATGTGTTCTCTATCTTTTTCTCTGCTCTCTGTAGCAGCATGCATTTTCTTGCCTTCACAACTCTGTTGTGCCATCTAGTTGCCATGAACAACTGCCCACAGAGGGGTGTTGTTAGTGCTTTCAAACATTTTCCTTCACCATGGGTAGATTTTCCTACACAGCAATTATAACACTCTAATAAACTCAGTACGCAAACACCTGTCCTCTAAAACACAATTACACAAGAAAGGATAGTGCACGCACACACACACGCACACACACACACAGTTTACTGTTCTACAGGTAGCCAAGTAAATAATCCATGAGGGCATAAACCTTTATGTACTGCGCTCTATTGCAAAAAAATGTAGAAAAAAAGGGGCATTTCTAAGGAGGTTACTGATCAATACAGAATTTGTAAATGCATGCACAAACCCTTGGCCTCACCTACAGGTTCTGCTCACCTAATGAAATATAGCTGCATTACAGCTAAAGGAGTATTTTTTTAAATAATTTAACAGCTCATAAGATGGTTTCTCTACCAACTTTTGCCCTCAGCTTCTAAAGATCTATGGAATATTGACTCTTTCTCTTACCTGAGGTTCTGGCCTGGGATGAGGTACACAATAGCACTGGTTGTTCCTGCTGCACTAACAGCCCATCCTCCCTCCTTACTTCCCTGCCATCGCTCTTTGCTCCTCCCTTCCCCCACCAGCTGCTACACAGCACGAATCTCCCTGACTCCACCCTCCTCCCTCCACATTATATCCCAGCATCCTCTTGTAGAGACCCGTCCCCGCCTTGTCCAATTCCCCAGAGCTGATGGTAAGGATTGGTAACTATGGGTAACTGCATCCCCTGGGGACTGATACCCTTTGACCTCCTCTTTGTTACCCTTTCTCCCTTCACAAGGCCCCCTTTTTTCCTGTGGTGTTGCTGGACTGTTGGTGTACTTCTGTTTCATATCATCATGCATTTGTCTTCCCCCACTGCTATTACAACTGTTGTGTACATTTGGAAATCCTTTAAGTCCCTAACCAGGTGGCTTTTCCCAAATCTGTTTTGTCTGGCACACAGTTCAGATTTGGCTGTTTATTGAATTTGCTCTCATTTGTACAAGAATGGTAACGCTGCCATGGTCAAGCTTCACAGGAGATCTGTCCAACCTGTTTTGCACTATTTGGAGAGTTTGAAAATATAGCAATAGTGCACTGCAGCCATGTTTGTACTCGCAGGTTGTAAATGCATCGTCGTCCTCCCTCAACACAAAAACATTTCTATACATCCATTAAACAAACACTGAATGCCTGGTATATAAATGATCACTTTTCAAAAGGGCTTCATTCCACTTGCCATTACATGCAGAGTCCTTATTATTATTACGTTCCTGCTGCTATAATACTCTTTATTTGCCTTGGTAAGTAGTTGTGGAAAACATTCGATTGGAAACTAACAGCCATGCTGACGAGTTGTGTTTTGATTTATTATATTCCCTTCACACAGGTAGCTCTAGTCAGCTAGAGACAGTTAATATTGATGCTGAATTGATGCAAGAGGCAGTGAAGAGGGACCTGCCAATGCTGATCACTTATATCCCAAATTGCACTGCTGTGTCTTCTTATTATTCATCCGTCTATTCTTCTTTGAAAAGAAAACAAAGAAAGAAGAAAAAACAGTGCTACAAGGCCAAAAGAACTTAGCGATGCCATTTCCAATTATTTCATCAGAAGAATTCTGAACTTTGTTATGAGTTCATTTAAATTCATTGTGGCATGAACATGATTCGCTGGTTCGTTTTGTTTGTCTTTCTGCACTGTTAGTTGGAGTCAAAGTCAGTATACTGACTTGTTATTTTCTCTTAATCGAACAGAATTAAGTTGACTATATGCATCCAGTTGCCGTCTAGCCACCAACTTTTGGCAACCTAGGCCCTAGACAATGTTCGGCGACATGTATGACTACATGATTTTAAAGTTGATTCAAGTATGAGTCCGTATATCTCAAATATATAATGAGTTTTCTCTGAAGGTTGTTTTGATCTTTCTTTCTCTCCTGTCAACTCTTTGCTAGTTCAACACCAAGGACATGAAACCAGAAACCCTTTAACACCACTATTTACACAACTGTAACGCATCAAAATAAGTTCTTCCTATATTATCATGGGCTTCTGCAACAAGGTCTGTAGAGTGTTAGAATTTGTGTATCAGTTTAGTCTGTCTTGGACAGGCTGTTTCACTGAGTTATATACATAATGCATGCTGGGATATGGTCCAGCCTCATGGGAACTTGAACCGAGACAGAGTAGCTAAAGAAACTGAATCAATGATTGGTAAGGATTCAGCAGGCTCCATGACTGTACACTTTTCTAACAGCCCACCTGCACACACAAACAAAGTATCTGTCTCCCACATAAATGCCCTGAAATGTAGGCAAGCTGTTATCCTCATAACTAAAAAGGCTTGACACACAAACACCCACACCATTATTACTATTAGCAAAACAACCAGCCTGCCTGCTGCATCCCAACTGTCTGTTTTAAACTGCAGCTTGGGACCACTTGTACAGGGCTGTCTCCCCTGACAGATCTATTCATGTTTTCCGAATAACGATTCATCTACAAGACAGAGCTTTAAATTAAATGGAGACACTTCCCCTTCTTTGACAGATCCATATTCTTAAAAGTGAGTGTGTTTAATCGCAGGGCTGAGGAGAGGACAGGGGGCGAGAGAAGCAATGTGAAAGCAGCAGATGGCTCGGTCAGAGTGCTGTCCTCGGGAATACTAATGTCTCCCTGCCTTGAATCGTAAGTTCTGACCTCTGTTCACACCGCTGAATTAGACAGTCAGGCTTCAACAGCGAAGAGGCAAAACAGAATAGAAGAAAGTCATTTAGCCTATAGAGAGCTAAAGAACAAAAATGATTATCAGCCAAACTGGAACATGGCTTTTCAAGTCGTCTTAAATAGGAATAAGACATTAATACGAATTTCTATTGATTCCATTAGCATGAAGAATTCCTCTTAGGGTGTGGGAAAGTCATTATCCAAATCACTGAGGTATTTAAGTGAGAGGGGATAACATGCAACGGCAATGAACCCTCTTCTGCTTTTCAATGTTTCCCAGCAAAACTATGATTTTTTTCAGGGCAGGGAAATAATCAATTTTAACACCGACCATCTTCCAGCGGCATTATACGATCGTGACTTGATGATAAACAGAATTCTGTTGTATAAATTACTTACTTTCAGTAAATTTACGTAAAACATAATCATACCTTTAATGCACTTTGGGTCATTATTGATGCTGTGGGGTGTCTTAATTAAAAAAGATGACTAAAGAAGTTGTATGATGGTGTTGTGATGCAAAATGGGATCATGGGAGTTGTTGCCTTGTTTTATTCAAACACCTTCATGTAAATCTAGCTGATGTTACCCTCAAAAGAAATCATGTTCCTGGAAAATAAAGTGTAGCTTAAAATACTTAGTTGTTTGTTCACAATTTTGTGAAATACGTCATGAATCGCTTCTTAGGTAAATCCCATGGACTTATCAAAAAATTTCAACTGCCCTCTCAGGTTGATTGTTAAATCTTTTGTTCCTACAGTGACCATAATATCTAGTCTAGTTTCAATCATCCAATGCTACTGTGTGACATCCCTTGAAAACTGTTACCATTATATACATTTTGCTATTCCTGCCTGACTTGTCTGTATTTGCACATAGGGCCAGATTTACTAAGGTCCCAAGTAAAGAGTACTAAATTGCGTGTTCACTCCATAAATTTGCACGTTGGGTTAGTGGCCGATTTGAGGGTGATCTACTAAGAATATTTGCGTGAATGACAACAGGTGCAAACCTTGTGGAGGCGGTAGTATTCAAGATAGGCTTTTGCGTGTTCTACTGGTTTACGTCACGGAGAGTTTGG